AAATCTAAACGAGGAAGAGAAAACTATAGCATCCTACCAAACTTAGAGCCCCATGGCCACCTGCCATCATGACAACTTCCAAAAATTTCACCAAGGTGAGTTTTCTCTTCTGAGTCATCACTACAGACTATATTCAATGTCAGCTTGGATCACATGGGTGATCTTTAGCCTTGCAAAACCAATCTTCACCCTGTTTTTAAAAATAATCATTTTACGATGAGTTAGATTAATCACATAAAACTAGAGTTCTATACTACCCCAGAAACTCAAGTCATGATTGAGTTAATTCATCAGGAAGGAAAAGAGGGAAGGAGGGTGGGGAAGGAAGGGAAGAAAAGATAAAGGAAGGAAGAAAGGGAGGGAGGAAGGGAGGGAGGGAGGAGAGAAAAAAGAAACAGCAAAGAATTAGAGCATTTGTAACCACCTAGGATGATGTTTATTTAAAAATAACAAAACCAGGATAAAGTATATTTACAAGGTGAGACATAAAAGTCTGGATATATTCTTTCTTGACATTTTTGAGGCACAAACTCCAAATGCCATCCAATTGTAACCACAGAAAACAATCCTCATGAGAATTTTGAAAAGAGACATTGAGTAATATGTTGGAACAGATGACTTTTTTAGCCTCCCACAACACTAAATCATGGAAAGATTCAGAGGTTGTCTGTATAAATAAAATATGAATATCAAAGTTCAGAGTTCCCTTTCTGCAAATAATATTTAACTTTGTTTATGTGAAGAATTGGAAGTCAAAATATGAGCTAAGTAAGGTTAGCTATTCCTTCCATAGTAATATGTCTGGTTTTCATTGTCAATGGAAAAAAAGGGAAAAATTCAAAATGTGTTATTTCATTAAAATCAACTACTCAGGCCCCTCCTTTTGTGAAATTTGTTACCTAAAACAATTTGACTCAGCTGTTCACAATCCATTTCTTTTTAACCCTAAAGTTGCATATCAATCCTTAATGTGCTTACCTACTCTAGTCTTCAGTTGCAAACCAGATCAAAAACCTTAATCCAGGGTTTTTAACTTAAGCTAAATCTATGTGAAGCAACAATGTGACATACTGTCTTTTTAGACCTGTCTTTTCTGTCAAAGTAACTCAGCCAAACCACTGCCATCTTGATTCAGTAGCCATTTTAGTTTCACAGACTTGAAATTTCATATCTTTAAGTTTCATATTCCTGGAGCCCTGAATTTCATTTCCTTGCTAAGATGTAAATGTCAAACCCTCTACCACAAAACAATAGCCAATCGCAAACAGTTGTGAACCCAAGCATCAACCAACCCTCATGAGGAGCAGGATTGTGCTAGAGATAAAGCTCGAATGAACTTCCCACTCAGTATGCTTGCTTACCAGACTTCTTGTTGGTTGCACAACTTTCTGCAGAAGTAAAACTTTTTGCTTTGCTGAAGGACTTTGGAGTGCTTCTCCCAGTCACCATTTGGGAGTTTCAAAACCCCAGACTTTATTTCTAACAATACTTTCAAAAAATGTCACATCATCCTGGACTATATTATGAAAAGCACAATATTCAAATGAGGGAGGTGTTATCTGGCCACACATAAGATATTAAAACACTATAACTCCTAAAAGAGTTTAGGAATCAGCATAAAATACCCATTTCTTCCATTCCTGGGTCAGAACCAGTTGAAAAAAAGACTAGTTGGACCCCAACAGACAGAGGTTAAACTATCAGCTTTATTTTATTTATAAGTTATTTGCAGAAAGAGATGCTAGAGCTATGGACCAAAAATCCTATTAGTACTTCATACCCATCAACCCCCACACTATCCCAACACCACCCACATTCTTCCTCCGCACCCAAGGGAGAGCTTGGAGATGAGTCTAGGGAAGAAAAAGGGAAGTTTCCAGTCCTTCCACAGATTTGTTCTACCTGATTAGTGTGTCTAGAAACTAGATAACCAACTTCTCTGCAAAAGAGTGAGCAAATGTTAGGACTAATGGTCAAGACTCTTATTCCAGTGGAGCTCCTTCAATACAGTAATGTGAAACCAGGGAAAAGGAGATTCCCTCCCAACAGCATGTAATTGGACACCCCCCCCCCTCCAATTAGGTAACCTTAGAATACATTAAGAGCATGATCAGGAGACTGGAGAGTTTGGAAACTCTACCTCATGACAAATGGTAGCAAGGGCGAGATTACACAGAATGAACACCTCCCTTCCGATAGTTGAGTGGGTAGTTCATTCAGTCTGTATAAGAGAGACATATGTTCTACATGCTGTCCCACATTTCCTGCATTCAGATCAGTTAGGCAAGGCCATGTGACTAGTCCTAGACAAGGAGATGTGAGCACAGCTGACATGATCTCCTCCAAGCCAAGGCAATGAAAAGTCCATTCCTAACTCCAGCCCTTCCTCCCCTCTGCAGTGATTAGAGGATGGAGGTAAGGGTATCCCACATTCCAGATGGTGTAGCTATACAAGGTGGAGCCTTCATCAATCTAGGTCATGAACGAGTGAGAGAAAGAGTTCAAGAGCAATGTTAGGACCATGGGAAACAATGAGAGAAGGAAGCTTTTCCCAAAGGATAGAATCAATTCTGAAACCAGGAACATTTTCCACCTCCAGAACAGGGGGCTATACAAGACCAGCTCAGCAAGATTTCAGTGTTGCTGCAGACCATAAGTGCTGTGCACCCCTTGTTCTTCACCACTTCAAATGGGAGTGTTGCTGATGTTGTCTTGACCCCATTCTACTACTGTATGTTGGATGTGAGAGGTACAGATAGCCCATCTGTTTTATTCCTAGGTCTCTGGGGGCAGGAATGGCCATATGCAGATATAATATATAGACTACCATGGCATCCCTCAGAGATCCCAAAATTGAAGCTCAAAACCATGATTTGATGTGACTTTAATTATCTTCCTGTGCAGTGAATCTGGTATTTGGAAAAAGAAGAGCGAAGTTATACTGGCAACCAGGAGGGAAGACCATGGCAGTAATGGTGTTGTTCACCAAACATTGTAGTTAAGGAAGATTAAATGGCTAGTTCAGTCCAGTGAGCTTTGGGAAGAAGTACAGAGACTTAGGGAAACTTATGTTGAGATGGCACAGCCACAAGTGAAAGCATTCTACATCACTGAGTCACCAGCATGCAAGACAAAGTTTCTGGACAGTTACATGAACCTATAGAGTTCATGAAAAATAAATTACCTTTAAGCTTTAACACTGAGATTTGAGGGCTTCTTCTTTCTGTAGCATAGTCTAGCAAATTCTGTCATATTTATGCCACTAAGATCAAAATTTTTAAGTTCCTTGGAGCTCAGTCTCTTCTTACTTTGTAGACTCCTCCTAGGGGTTTTATGTTTCCTCATAGCTATAAACACCATCTTTATGTAAGTGACTCTAGTCCCCAGCTTGTTTCAGGCAGCTCTGGCATAGTTGTGCCTTTTTCATTCTCAAGAGTGACCCAGTTTGGATTAAAGTATACAGCCACCTTATTGAGGTGTCAATTACCTCCAAATGTCTATTTCCATTCCCAAGCCATTTCTAGAGCTTCACATATAGGCAATCCAGCCATCCACTCAGCACCTCCATTTATGTATCACTCTAGCACAGTCACCTCAGAATTTACATTTTCTACATTGAACTGGGGGCCATGCACCCAGTTACTCAAGTTGGAAACACAATGTCATCTTTGACAGCTGCCTTTCCCTCATCACTCACATCAATTCATTAAGATCTGTTAATTATGTCTCTGAAATATATCACAAACCTACCCCCCCACTTCTCATCCCTATTGCCACCACCTGATCCAAGTCACCTATTGGATTCCTGCAATAGAGTCCTATCGGGTCTCTAGTCTTTTTGTCTACTCTACTGGCAGCCAGAATCATCTTTAAAACAAATAAGATCATTCCCCTTCTGAGCTCAACTTTCAGTGATGCTAACAATGGATTACTAAATCCTCCTTGACTATAAGAAAGATCCTGCATGACTTGGTTCCTGTCTGTTTCTTGGGCTTTATTTCCTACCTCTCACATTTGTCCACATCAGGATTTTGTCCTTTTTATGTTAGAGGAAAGCTATGGTCCTTCTTATCTCACTACTGTTGCACCTGTTAGTCCTTCCAATGGCAGGTATTGTCAGATGTTCACCCAAGTCTAAATTTTCCCCCCTATCTAGGTGCACTTGCTACACTATATTTTCAGACTCCCTTGCGGTTATTGTGGCCAGAGCATACAATTCTGCACAATGTGATGTGTACAGAAGTAACATATGCTGTCCCCAGGCCTGCTGATAAAAATGCCCCCCACATGTTGTCCCATGCACTTGCCCCTTTCTCACTGGCTTCAGTAGAGATGACCATCAATTCATCTTAGGAAAGATGGCAGATCTTCCATCAGAATGGGTTCCAGAATGTGGTCACAGACGTGTGGAGAGAAGCCACCTCATCATTGTCTCCTGCCCAGTATAAGAACATAAGCAAGAAATACACTGCTGCTATATTTAAAACATTATGTATTTTGGGAATTATTATCACAATTGTTGGCACTATTTTAATAGAAATCTGTACCTGGAACATTAATCACCATACCACAACCAGCACTGTACCACACATGAGCACACACACACACCACTCTAATAGTCTGCATTGCTCCTACACACTTATATTTTAGGTCCATTAGAGACCATTCCTAAATTCCTTTATCCAAATACAATCTAAGTTTCTCTGCCATTCTTTCTCTCCACACCCTATTCTTTCATTTTACTCATTGCAATGTGTAATTATATACTGACTTAAAGTCTGTGTCCACAACTGATCCAGAATACCAATGGGTTCAGAATCTTTCATCCACCACAATGATATACACAGACCCTGCACACTGCTTGCCATATAACAGTCAATAAATTTTAAAATGTAGAAGGCAAACCCATGAGCAGCCACTATCAAGAAAATAAATCTTTTCATCAAGAAACCACAACTTTAAGCCAAAACCATAGAGAATTAAAATGCACACCATAGAACTTTTTTAACCTTTATTAATTCAGAATGCAATTCTAGGCCAATCTACAATCAAGAGCAAACCCTAAACTCCAAAGTAGTGTTAACAGGCTGAATAATATAACAATATTGCCCTGGTAAGCACAAACAAGAAGTCAACTTTCATTCTGTTCATAAAACCTTTTGCTAAACGTGCATTTTCTTCCCATCAGAAATGGATTAACAGGATCATGCTTATATAGCTAGTCAGCACAAGAGACAAATGACAATTCATACTTATTCATACAATTCATCCTATTTAATCTTGCAGTAGGGTGCTCACAGCTCCAAGTTATATCTGTTGACCTTTTCAATGGCATTCATTATGTGACACTGTCACCAGTTACATTAAAAGAACCTCACTCATTTTTTAAAATCCAGCATTACTCAAAACATTCTTCATTGTAAATAACACCTGGAATAATGCATTAAAATGCCAGGATTACTGAAATCTTTTCTACAGTCCTTTGTGTAATATATGTAGGAAGGAAGTGCTATCTAGGAGAATGAAATAGACCAGTTCTTATATTTTTACTTACAAGTCTATTTAGTTTAAGTAACATTGATTAATAATTACTGATTAAAAAATAAATCAATGTTAAATATTAATTGCACAAAATCTAAAATAAAATGGCCACATTACATCATACTACATTGCAGAGATATATTAAAAGCAGCTACTTAGAAGCCGTCCTAAAAATTTAAAGTTTCTGACATCATTTTCCACCACTCCATCAGCTCTTCCTTCTCCTCTTCTTTCCTTTCAGAAAATGACTCCAATTCAAAATCAACCTGCAGAAGAAAAACAATAACATGTTGCCATCAAACCACCTAAGAAATTTTTTGAAAAATAAGAGTTTTATAGATTATAGAATAAACTCAACTCAGCCGCCTGAATTAAAGTAAATCCAAAAATCTCTTGTGCTAAACAAATATACTTTCAGGGAGGAAATCAAAAGCCATTATGCTTGAAATGTGCTTTGATCTAATACCTTTAAAGACCTGCCCACCTCCCTCCCTTCATAAAAAGATGTAATTTATAGTTAATTTCCTGACTTTGGCTGTCCAGTAAGCTCTTCCTGTCAGCCTTGAATTTTGTCCTAACATGTGAGGGAATATAAAACACAGTTCAGTGTGCTGTGTCCCAATACATAAGGTTCTGCTGTCCAGACCCGTGAACTTGTTAAAGAGACTGATGGAACAACTGACAACTCCAATCTGTTCTCTTGATGATCTGGGAGTCTTCATCAGGTCTGTGGAGAATCCATGCACACTGGGCATAATGCATAAGTGTGCAGCCCAACCCAGTCCTCAGACCTCCACTCCACGTGGCACTAAGAGTTCCTTGATGTGGCCACTTGAACCCATGACTACTTTGGAAAGGTATCATACTCACTACTTCCTTGGACTATGGCACATTAGAAAGACGAAGGAGCAAAACAGCTGAACCTTTTATAGCCTGTTCCTGGAGCTAATTTTTTCCAGTTTTCATTTGACAAAATTTACTTCCTGATTTTAATATCTACATAGCCTGCTATACACATACACATAATCAAAATCAAAACACCAGTTTAAGAAAACCCCAAGATGTTTTGTTTCCAAAAACCAAGCATTTATACTCCAAACTTTGAATGCATTAAAAAAAACTACAGTAAATTTTTCTCAAGTCTTTTAATTGGAAATCCTATAAGCCACCTTCTAATCCCAATAATGTGATAGAACAATGGCAGTAAGGCAGTCAGCCCTTATCTGAGCTGCCCACCTCATATCTTGAGGTATAATGAGGTTTTACTAATAACTCATTCTTTGCTATCTTCAAAAAAAGAGAAGATAGCACTAAAATTCAACTCTATCACCTTCTTAACTAAATTAATTGGATCTACTTCAATAAAACAGTTTTTTTTATTTTGTGTGGGATTTTTTGTTTAGGGAGGGGGGTCTTTGTTGGTGTTGGTGTTGTCTTGGTAGCACTGGAGATTGAACCCAGGGCCTCACATTTGCTAGGCAAGCACTCTACCACTTGAGCTATACCCTTAGCCCAAAGTATAGTTTGTAACAGTATTTATCTCATGGTATTGTTCTCAATAAATATTTGTTTAATGCCTAAAATTTTCTTGCAGGAAAATTTATTCCCAAGTATTATTAAGCAAGATGTTATGCTAGTTGTTAGAGATAACAGGATAATTGGGGCCAGGTGCCTGTAATATAATCACAACTACTAGGGAGGCAGAAATCAGGAGAATCACAGTTTGAGGCCAGTCTAGGCAAAACGTTAATGAGACCCTGTATTAACAAACAAGTCAGGTATGGTGGCACACTTGTAGCATCCCAGCTACATGGGAGGCATGGGTAGATGTGGAGAGTGGAATATGAGAAGCCTATGAGAACTTGACACAAGCACAGCTATGCCCAATAATCTGCAGGCTGAGCTGGCACAGCCCCAGCCATAGAAGAAGGCAAGGGCAAAATGCAGCACAGCTGCTTTTCCTAAGATGTTTACGTGCAGAGAGTAGCGATTGCAGGTTCCTCTTGCTCCCAAGTGCTACAATGTTATGCCCCCTGCACCAAGAACTGTTGCTCCACCTCCTTGTTTGCCACTATATATAATAAACATGCTGGAGGGGGATGAGGCTGTTGTGTGTCTCCATCAGAGCACCCAGCCCACCTGGCCCCAGCTTTCTGCATGTTTGTCTTTTGTCTTCTGCCCTTTCTTAATCTCCAGTCACTCCCAATTAGGTTTCTAGGACATGCTCAAACAGGGAGCAAGAGGTGGACCTGAACAGGGACCTAACTATGGGAAACTTGAAGCCTGAGAGGGGGAGACACTCTTTGAGAGGCACATGCTTAATAAGAAACAAGTAAGATGTAATAGAAAAGAAGTAAGGTGACGAGGAGAGTGAATTGAATACAGTCAGGTGTAAAAACACAGGACAGTGTGAGTCTAAGGACTGAGAGCTCTATATACAGGCTTTAAAAGCCATGCTAAAGATTAGAGGAAGCAGAGTCAGGTTGCTTCAGCTTATGCAGTTTTTAGATTTTGTTCAGGATACTTGCCCATGGTTCCCTGAGGAGGGCACTGTAAATTTAGAAACATGGAACAAGGTAGGAGATGGGCTGAGGGCATGATATATAGCTGAGGGGCATGCCCATTTTTACTTTTGGTTTGTGGTTTATTATTAGAGATTGTTTGGAGCCTATTCCCTCACATAAACAAAGATTTTCCTCCTCGGTATTTGAGGCGGCATGTGGGACTCACTCCTTACAACCAATCATCCAGGAACGTAAGAGGCAAGATCTCTTGAAGGAACAAAATGCTGCAGGCAGTGGAGCCACTGAGCTGTCGGCCCCACCTTATGAGGATAAGTTTTTACATAAAATTAAAGTTCAGTCCAAAGATGATTCTGATTTTGATTCAGTGTCAGGTGAGGAAGGTCAGGAGGAAGCTCCAGCCCATCAAGTACTGGGAGCCATGCATTTGGGGTTACTTCCACAGGCCAAGAGACTTCCTGCTCTTGCTAAGAGTCCACTACAGGCTGCCTTGCAGGCAGCTCGTAGTCAAGGAGAAGATGCAGATGGTTTTAGGTGTCAGTCTGTGCTTGAGAGACTGGACCCTAACAACCCTGGCATGCAACAGAGATTTTATGAAAAGATTCTATTTAAAACTTTAAAGGAGGTAAAACAAGCCTATGCAATGTATGACCCTACAGCGCCATTTACACCGGGGCTATTACAAGTGTGGTAGGAGATACTGCTATGTCTCCAGATGACTGGCAGGGCTGGCTAAAATATGCCAGCATATCTCCAGCTGATTAGTTTCTGTGGAAAACAGATTTTACAGAGTTATGTCAGGAGCAGACAAACCATAATTTGGCCCACAGAGTGCATATCACTGCAGATATGCTCATGGGAAGAGGACCTTCCAAAGGCATAGACAATAAATTATAGTATCCCCTTCAAGCTTATCAGCAGATTTCCATCGCAGGGATAAGGGCATAGAAAGAACTACCGATGAAAAGAGAAAAGACTTTGGAATTAACTAGCATTCTCCAAGGTCCTGATGAGCCATATTAAGAGCTTGTGGCATGCCTGCTGCAAAATGTAGACAGGATAGTGGTGGATACTGAAGCCAAAAACATACTGATAAAACAGCTGGATTTCGAGAATGCTAATGAGGCCTGTAAGACAGCCCTTCGGTCATATAGAAAAAGAGCTACTCTGCAGGAAATGTTTAGAATTTGTGCAGGTATCAAGCCAAGTCACATCCACATTATAGCTTTAGCTGCTGCCTTAAAGGAAGTGTTTCACCCTGGGGGAAGAAAAAAGGAGCATGTTTTTCCTGTGGAAAAGAGGGACATTTTGCTAGGGAGTGTCAGAATAAGCCCTGACTACAGCTAGGTATCTCAGGGCCCATCACCAGGCCACCATCTGGTGCCAATGGGCCCAGGGCTTGACCCCCTGGAATATGTCCTTGGTGTCAGAGAGGAAAATACTGGGCAAACAAATGCCACTCCAAAACAGCTATAGATGGGCAACCTCTTATAGGACAGGGAAAATTCTAATGGAGCCTGCCCAGGCCCTGTCAAACAGTGGGGACAATTATGCAGGCTCCTCACCAATACCCACCATTGAAAATCTCTTTTGTGCCATCCCAGGAAGCACAGGATTGGACCTCAGTCCCACCTCCCAGTATGTGTTAATGCCTGATTTGGATGTGCAAGTTACCCTATAGGGGTCTGTGGTCCTCTGCCCCAGTTCACAGTGAGTCTAATATTAGGGGAAAGTGGTGCAACTATAAGGGGATTATAGGTTTATCCAGGTGTGATTGATGAAGACTACACTGGGAAATTAAGATAATGACCCAGACACTAGGTGCCTTTGTAGCAGTATCCCCAAAGGCAAAAATAACTCAACTGGTTATTCTCCCAAATGTGAAGAAAAGCAAGGTGTTAACTCATACCCCATGGAGAGATGGAGGATTCAGTTCCTCTGATCATGCTTACTGGTACAATGAGTAACAAAAGATAGGCTGGAAATGACTTTGTTCTTAAATGAAAAACGGTTTTGGGACTTTTGGAGACTGGTGCTGATGTCTCTATAATTGCTGCTAGGCATTGGCCAAAAAGTTGGTCTTGCCAACCCTCTGCTGCCAATCTGCAGAGGTTAGGGGCCACTCATGGCCCCCTCCAGAGTTCTCAGCAGATCTGTTTGGAGGGATGAAGAGGGACACTCAAGGCTTTTTGTTCCTTATGTCCTAGACAATGTTCCAGTCAATCTGTAGAGAAGAGACATATTAGAGGGTATGGGAGCTATACTCAGCAGTCCTGATAGCATGGTCTCTCACCAAATGTTTCAAGATGGCAATAATCCCCTTAGGGGACTGGGAAAATATCAACAAGGCAGGTTACATCCTGTACAGCCTTTAGGGAATCTAGGAAGGATGGCGCTAGGATATCAGGCCGCACAGCCTTTTCAGTAGGGGCCCTGGTCCAACAAATTAAACACTCCCCTTTCAAACATGCAGCCCAGATCACTTGGCTCTCAATGGATACAGTCTGGGTGGACCAGTGTCCTTTCACAGGGGTAAGTTGGCTGCAGCCACAGCTCTGGTGGAGGAACACTTAAAAGCAGGGAATATTGAGCCTACCTACAGGCCTTGGAATACTCCAACTTTTGTGATTACAAAAAAGTTGGAAAGAGGGAGGCTCTTACAGGATTTAAGAGCTGTCAACAGAGTAATGCAGCCAATGGGAACACTCCAGCCTGGCCTTTCCTCACCTACAGCTATTCCATTAGATTATTGTCTTTGCATTCTTTTTTTTTTTTTTTTAACCATTCCTCTCCATTCAAAAGACAGAGAAAAATGTGCTTTCACTTTATCATCACCAAATCATCAGGGCCCTGGGCACTGATTTCATTGGACAGTGCTGCCTCAAGACACAGCTAACAGACCCACTATATGTCAGGAATTTGTCCCTGCAGCAATGGAACCTACATGCCATAAGTATCCAGAAGCTTTATGTCCTTCATTACACAGATGATATTCTGATAAGTCAGCCCAGTAATCTTCTACTAACCTTGGCAGATCTTACAAAGGACCTTGAGGCCTGGGGGTTGTGCATTGCCCCAGAAAAGGTACAAAAAATGTCTCCCTTTCAATATTTAGGACAAGTTATCGATGGACACTTGATCCATCCTCAAAAGGTAGAGATCAGGAAGGATCATTTAAAAACTTTAAATGATTTACAAAAACTGCTGGGAGATGTCAATTGGCTCAGACCCTCTCTAAAACTTACCACTGACACCTTATCTCCTCCTTTTCAACTGTTCAAGGGCAACCCTAATTCTTCCTTGCTTTGAGAACTTACAGAGGACACCCAACAGGCATTGGTTAAGGTAGAGAGAGCAATGGATCCACAGCACCCTGTTCAGTTATCGATTTTATACTCTCCATCAATGCCAATGGGGTACTTTGGCAATTGCAGGGGATGTTGGAATGGTTACACTTGGGTCACTCTCCTGCTAAGTTTCTTACACCAAGTCATGAGCTGGTAGCTAGGCTGACTGCTAAGGGATGCACTCATTGTTGTGAATAGCTGGGGCATGAGCCCATTTTCAAAAGATCAACAGCATTGGTTATGGCAATTTTCAGACTCATGGCAGTCTGCACTGGCTAATTTTGCAGGAAAGGTCGGGGAACATCTCCCGCATTCAAAACTTTTAGTTTGCCTCCCTTCATGCTTTTGTCTTTCCAAAAATTACTCCATCCTCCCCTTTGTCAGAAGCTATCAATTTTCACTGATGCTGCTGGGCATGGTATTGCTGCCTATTACACCAAAGATTGCCACAAGGTAGAAAATACTTTTTTGCCTCTGCTCAAAGGGCAGAGCTTTATGCTGTTGTCATGGTCCTGAGGGACTGTCCACAACAACCTATCAATCTGTACAGTGATAGTCACTATATGGTAGGTGTTTCACACTGAATTGAAATTGTTTATATTGGCCACACTAGTAATGAAGAGTTATTTAATCTTTTCTTTCAGTTGCATAGTCTGGTGCAAGCCCACCTTTATCCCTGTTTTGTGAGCCATTTGCGCTCATATTTTAATCTCCCTGGCCCACTCACTGACAGTAAGGCCCAGGTAGATAACCTAGTCTCTGGGCTTGCCTTGGGCCTGCTCACACAAACTGCTCACACACCCATAGAAGCTGCCTGACTAAGTCATGCCTTGTACCATCAAAATGCTTCAGCCTTACGTAGGCAATTTCACTTTACCAGGGAGCAGGCTCAATAAATCATTAAATCATGACAGCAGTGTATCACGTTTGTCACAAGCGCCTGAGGGAATTAACCCCCAGGGCCTTCGGCCTGGAATCTTGTGGCAGATGGATGTCACTCACGTTCCCTCCTTTGGCTGACAGTGCTATGTTCATGAGTCTGTGGACACCTATTCAGGTTATATCTATGCCTCTGCACATGCTGGTGAGGCCACTAAGCATGTCATCGCTCATTGTTTGGCTGCCTTCACTGCCATGGGTAAACCCCAACAGCTCAAGACAGACAATGGCCCTGCATATTCTTCAACTGCCTTTCAGCAGTTCTGTGAGGCCTATCAGATACATCACACCACTGGTATTCCTTATAATCCTCAAGGGCAGGCCATAGTGGAATGCGCACATGCCACTCTCAAAATGCAATTAAAAAAATTAAAAGGGGGAGACGAGGTACTTCCCCAGCTAGCCAATTACATAAAGCTTTATATACTTTTAATTTTTTGAACTGCCCAGAATAGGGTTTAACACCCACTGAAAGGCATTGACAACTGCAGGAGCTGACTTTCAGGCCTCAGATTCTTTGGGATAGTGTGTTAACTGGCAAATGGCACAGTCCTAGTCCTTTCCTGATATGCAGTCAAGGGCATGCTTTTGTGTTTTTCTTGAAGATGCAGAACACCCAGTGTGGGTACCATCACAGTTTGTCAAGCCTCATGGACCCAAGGATGAGGAGACTGAGACTGGAAGACTCATCCTAGGACAGGGAACCACTGAGGCTGACTTGTCCACCAACCAGAGGGCAGTCAAGAAAATAGTTGCCATTGAGATAGACGCGGAACAGAGAGCCACCCGCCTGGGGTCAAATGAAGAAACTAATGGACATGATGATGATGGTAACTGGTAACCTGGGGATGGCTGGGGATCCCACAGCCACATTGCTGGCGACATTGGTCATAATCACAATATAGGTGGGTGTTGCCCAGGGTGATGCATACTGGACTTTCATGCCCAACCCACCAATGGTCCATTCTATCACTTGGTAGAGCCACCCTATATCTATCTTTGCTGATGATACGGTGCACAGGGAGGACATTCCTCAGGACATTTGGTGCCTCAATATAGTGACTACAGCTTTACAGGTTATGGGTTCATGAGAATGAAGCAAACAATACTGTGGGTTTATGGCTACTAAGACAACAAATATTGGCCATGCGAAAGGCTTATGATAATGCTATTTCTCCAGCTAAAACTATCCTGGATGAATTCAAGGGTTTCAATCCATTTCACTTGCGAAAGCACTCTTTCTGGTATTTGGCAGGAATAAGTATGTTATTGTTCATCTGTTTTCTTGTTCTTTCTGTCGGATGCTGCACAGTGCAAAGACAACTCCTTGGATTGGGGGATGGGCTTCATTGGGAGTACTTAAGAAATAAAAAAAGAGGAAGATGTGGCAAGCAGAGTATGAGAACCTATGAGAACCTGACAAGCACAGCTGTGTGCAATAATCTGCAGGCTGAGCTGGCACAGCCCCAGCTGCAGAAGAGGGTGAGGGCAAAATGCAGCACAGCTGCTTCTCATAAGATGTTTATGTGCAGAGAGTAGCGATCAAGGTTCCTCCTCTTCCTAAGAACTACAATGTCATGCCCCCCACCCCACACCAAGAACTGTTGCTCCACCTCCTTGTTTGCCAGCATATATAATAAACTCGCTGGAGGGGGACAAGGCACTGTTGTGTGTCTCTATCTGAATGACCAGCCCACCTGGCCCCAGCTTTCTGCATGTTTGTCTTCTGTCTTTTGTCCTTTCTTAATCTCCCATCACTCCCAGTTTGGTTTCTAGGATGAGCTCGCACAGATTGTGAGAGGTAGAAGGATTGCAGTTTAAGATAACCCTGGGCAAGAAACATAAGACTCTCTCTGAAAAATAACTAAAGCAAAGGACTGCTGGAGTGGATCAAGTGGTAGAGCACCTCCTTCGCAAGCATGAGGCCCTGAGTTCAAATCCCAGTACCACCAAAAACAAAAAGATAATTGGAAGAGAATCCCATTTAGACTGAAACAAAGGTTAGTAAACAAAATTTTAATATTTTTAAGTTTTATCTTACTGTGAATCTTATTAAAAAACTGAGAAATGGTAACAGAGCTTCACACTGAATGTATTGTCACCCAACAAGACTTTGGGCAAGTCACCTAACTTTGTTGGGCCTCATTTTCCTCATCTGTTAAAGTGGGGATAATGGTGGATGCTACCTCATAAGGCCATTGTGAAGATTAAACATAAGTTACATAAGTATGCTTGACAATGCTGCGTGCTAAATTACTATCAGCTTAATCATTATTATGATTACTTACCCCAACTGCAGGGCTGTAAGGAACTGCCACTTTCTTTGTGATTGCCAGATAGCCTGGAGCCGAGGCTGTCAGTTTATAGTTTCCAGGTACAAGCAATCTCCAGTAGTCACCATCCTTTGCTGTAGGATAATATGACATCAAATTACAGAGCAAGCACACAGGTGAAGTGCAGAATTATGCATAACAGAATATCCACTGTAGCTCAGAAAAACCTTTGTCAGTCTCTACTTTTCAAGTAGAGAATCTGATAAAATTCCGTGGAAAAGGGTGTGAAGCTTCCTCTCTGGGCATCATTTCTTGGAGCAACTTTGTAGATATTACTGCTGTTTAAGAAACTTTCTAAGATCATGGATCTTTTAGTCATGCCAGTGAAAACACAGGTAAAAAGATTCATAAAGTGCCCAAGCAGAGAAATCACACACCTGGGCATCGTGTTTTCATTCTTAGCAGGTAAAAACCAATGGTCTAAGAATCTAGATCTCAGTTCACAAAGTACGGCCCCAAGGTAGCTTCACCAAAATTCCCAGGTATTTGTTAGAAATGCAGATGTCTGAAGACTGAGAACACATTGGTCAGGAGTATCTTCTAGGAATTCTCCAGAAAATTCCTAAGCATAGCTCCAACCTCTTTCACTCCCCGAGGTTCCCTCCTGGCCTAGATTGGGTCCTGTGGCCCACCATTATATCAGCTCCTGCACAGGCCTTCGCCCCTCTGCTTTTCTCCCTTGGTCCCACTAACCTAGTGGAAAACCACTAACCTTGGACAATTCCTAACTTTCTACTGTTATGTCTGCCCCCAGGTGGCTGCAAGCAGCTTGAGAAAACACATCATTGTGATCTGTCTCCAAACCTAAACACCAGCCTTACATAGGTCATGGTACCTTTCTTTTACACCTCCCTGAATGTGTTCATTCAATCTCCCATTTTCCTAAATCAGTGCTTCCCCAATTCAAGCATACATCAATCACCTAGGAAACTTGGAAAAATGTGAAATCTGATTCACTAGCTGCGGGGTGAGGCCTGAGATTTTGCATGTCTAACCAGGTGATGCTGAACCACCTCACGGGGGCCACACTTTAAGTAGCAAGGTCCTAGTAAGCAAGTCACACTTCCTCCTCTCTCTTAAATTATCTCCATCTCAGTTGGTGCTTTACATCTTATTTCACTGTGAAAACAGACACAATCAGAAAAATTAAGCTCCCATCACCATATCCTCCACCCTACTGCTAGAGCTAACAGCTCCCTTCAGCTAGTGCTGTATTTATCTTCTGTGATTTAGTGCAAACTTTCTGGGCAGATCCATCAGTATTTTCTGTCCCTGGTGGATCTCTTCCTATTCTTTCTTGGACCTGCTCTAATCAGGTTCCTACTACTTGTTCCATTGAAACATATTTTGTGAAGACTCTCCACACTGATAAATCCCCAAACTTTCATGCACAAGGGTCATTTTGCTTGACACTTTTATCACTCCCTCACTCTTGAAATACTCCTAGGCTTCCAGAACAACTTCATTTTCTTTCTACCTGAGACTCCATTGTTAGTTCCTTCCTACTGCTCTGCACTCAAAAAGCTGGCATGTCCTAGAGCCTCAGATTTCATTCCTTTCTACTTAGTTATTTCCTAAGTTAGATTTTTTTCTGAACTGTTCACATAATGGACTGTAGAGAAAAGAGTATTGGTATGACACGGTAGGGCTAACAGAGAAAATAGGTTTCCTGTGGCAAAGGGTACCAATGCTAGGGTCCCACCCTCCCTAAAAGAATCTTAGCACAGATTCTGAAGTGTTGGTTGGGAACCATGCTGGAACTCAGTGGGATATTGAGAAATATTTGTTGAATGAATTAATAAATAAATGGAGCTTTAGAGGACAAATGCTAAATGTGGGGAAAAAAAGAAACCAAGGTACAAATGTAGAAGTTAGGAAAGAAGCAGTGATAGGGAATGCTTTGGAAAATAAATTAAGGGTTAATTAATTATAAAGTCTTTATGGCTAGGAAAACACTGTTGTTGCCATTGTTGAAAGGTTCCAGTAAGTGACAAACTAAAATGAGCTAAATAGAGGCTTAACAAGAGGAAGTACGTTTGCCAGGAAAATACATATTCCCCAAACTGAGGAATGAAGATGGGGTTTTAAGCCTAGAAAAGCTCACATCACACCTCAATCCTACCACATTCAGTTTCACCTTGAAGAGCTCTGGATTCAGTAAAAAGATTACATGGAGAGATGTAGGAGAATTCCTGGACTCGCCCTATCCTGGGAGTTAAGTTCTAGCAAGTCCCTCTGCCTTTGCCTGAACAACCACAAAGCAGGGGCAAGGGTGGCTCCACCTGGCAGCCCTGGGGTGAGAGATGGGGGAAGGGCGCCACCTGCTGCCCCAACTTCTACACAGCAACCATCCTGAGATTCACTTCTTGACGTGCTTTCTCAAACCAAATTGAACCTAGGTCACAGCTGGAATGGAGCTATGAAGCACCTGCTTTGCTTTGACTAGTGTAAGAATTACTACTAGTCTAATAAGCAGTCATGCCCTTGTGCATAATGCTACAGCCTCCAGATCACAGCATAGAACACCCACCAGATGTGACATCATGGTCTATTCCTTCCACCGAGATGGTTGCGTTGGCAATCGGGTTACCTTGGAGGTCTCGGACAAATCCTTTAACTCCTCGGTGTATCTGTGAAAGACAAGGACAACCAAAAAGTTCACATGAGAAATGGCCTGAAAATATGCTTCATGGTCCGCATACCATAGACCTCATTATTTAAGAATCAAAATGTGCCCAAATGGAACTGAGCACATTTGAATGGTTGAATATTCATATGATGTTTTTGTGCCCTCTTCACTCAGCTTTTTCTCAAATAGACAAATCAAAAGTAATTAATATCTTGTTCTGAGTCAAAGAAACACTTTGAAGAACACTTTAAATGACAAAAAAAAAAATCTCTCATATTTGTAAAGCTTTAGTCTTGGCACATTTCAGTATCTCTCTCTTTTAAATTTGGGCACCAATATATACCTTTTATAGCCATTGTTAATTAATAAGAATATTAAAAACCCATTAATATTAATTAATTCTAGATAAAAAGATATATACTGTGCCTTCTTGTGCAGTAAGCCCATTTGCAATATTATTTTGACTGAAAATAAGTGCATGAAAGATCAGTACAGCTAGATATGATGGTGCACACCTTTAATCCCAACGACTCAGGAGGTAGTCAGACCCTATCTCAAAAACAAGCGAGGCACAGTGGTACATGCCTATAACCTCAGAGAACTTGGGAAGTGGAGGCAGGAGGATCAAGGTCCAAGGCCCGTCCAGGCAGAAACAGAGAATCTATCTGAAAAACAAATTAAAGCAAAAGGACTGGTGGTATGGCTCAAGTTAGAGCATGTACCTAGCAAATATGAGGTCCTGAGTTCGAGCCCCAGTACCACAAAAGGTCAGTGGACTTCATAAACTGAAAATTGGATATTAATTTAAAAGGGAGATGGAATGGTTGGAATTGAGAATAATCCCCCTGGATTAAGTTGCAATGAAACTACTGCAATGAAAGCTATGAAAACACCTTTTTTATTTTTAAAAGTTAATTCTTCTAAGTCTATGTGTGTTTGAAGTGACAAAGTAGCCTCAAGTCTTTAACAAAGTACTCTGTTTGGGATATCATATAACATATAATTCATTAAATTTGATTGCTTAAGACAATATGCCCAACCTCCCAAATACTCAGGTGGCTCCTTACCCAAATTGATCCTAGAAAATGAAACTTCTTTTGCTACTGATGACATTGAATATTTCCTAATAGAGGGTAGAATAAGTCTCACATATCCTTCATCATCAGTGAATGAACTTGAGGGTGGTACAATGTTTTATCAAAGAGATGCCCCTGGTTATCAGCAATGATTTTGGGCTCACTACTGATTTTAAATCTCTAGAACTTTATAAAAGTATGTAATTTTCTCTCTAAGGGCAATTTATAAACAGAAAAAAAAACAACATTGTACAAGTTGTCAGAAATAATGGATGATGGCATATTAAGTGAAGTAAGCCAAGCTCAGAGAGATAAAGGCTACATGTTTTCTCTCATATGTGGGAGATAGACACAATACAAATATAAGCAATACTATGAAAAACAGGTCACGCTAAAGGGAAGTCACATGCTAGAGAGGGAGGGTAAAAGAAGGAAGTTAAGAAGATGAATATAGCTGATGTACTTTCTATATAAGAATGAATACAAAATTTTTTGAGATCAAGTAGTGATCTCAAAACAGTTATTTGGAAAACGATCTGAGACAACAATAGTGAGAGAGGGTAAAAGTAAGATGGGAGAGAATAGGAAGATAACATAAGGTGCATTAATGGGATGGTAACTGTTGTCACAACTTGGGTTCTGGCCCCTCGAGGACCTCTCAAGAGACTACAGCAGCTGGCTAGAGGGAAAAGTGAAGTGGGGTATTTATCCACTAATTTGCAATCATCTCTGCAAGAGATTCCCTCTCAACCCATTATAGAAATAGACCTCCTAGCCACCTGTTTTTCCATGAGTTGTAAACTCGTGCTTACACTTCAGGCCCAGGTGGTCAATCACTAATCACCACCATTGTCAAGAAAACAATTCCAACGCAGAACTCCTGGAAGTCTTCTCCGATCTCTTATCAGTCTTTGACTCCCTAAACTAAGTTGCTTTTATTTTTTCCTCTTTTTAATTAGTGTATGTTAATTGTACAAAGGGGTTTTGTACAGAACCAGTCAATCCCCTGGGAACACAGAGAGACCTAAGAAAAGAGTCCTGCACACAAGATGTTCAAAGCCTCAAGAGACAAGTGTATGTGAATGAGACTTAGCATATGCTGCACTCGTGAGCCCAAAATGCGTGTATACATATTTATAAACACCAGCTAGTGTATCCTTCTCCACCCGCCCTATGTGTTCACGCAGTATCATTCTAGAACTGTTATCCCCACTTTACAGGTATGGAAATTAAGGAGAAAGAGCTTTAATGATTACCTAATGCAACACGGATATGATCCAGTGAAACAGACTGGCATGGGGACCTCAGAGTTCATGTTTTCACAATCAGCTGGCAATTGCTATCTGCTGAGTCATCTAAGATCGATGTCATTCCTCAAATCTTGAATCTTTCCATTCATGTATAAATATATCTCTTTCTAATAATTTGTCGTTTTTCTCCTAGAGCACATACCCAATTACAAACGTCAATTCTCATGTTCACCAAATGCTCCCTTGGGAGTCACAGTGCCTTCAAATATTCACTTTTGTGAAACCTTTTCTATCTACTAAACTTCCGAATATAGAATTTTTAAAGCTGCTGAAATCACCATAAAAAGGCAACAATAGTAGAAAGGAGAAAAATAGAGGTAATGAACCAATTGGGGTTATAATACATATATACATGGAAATGTCACAATGCAACTCTCAAACAAAATTAAAATGTCTTTTTTTTTTTTCAAAAATGGAGAACAGGAAGTTAAAACAGGTCCTGTTGGGGGTGAGGGTTAGTACCAGTGGGTGTGGGAAGAATATAAGAAAAAGGTAGAAGAGGGTGAAGAGGGCAGAAATACTACGGGTACTCATGCATGAAAATGGAAAAATGAGACCTGTGGAAACTACTGCAGGAACGGGGAGAGGATTAAGTACAATGATGTAGGGGTTAGCTATGATAAGTTGTAAGAACTTTTGTAAATGTCATGAGGTACCCCCAGTACAATAATGCAATAATAAAAAAGAAATAGCAGATGATGATTCCAATGGCCAGCAACATGGTAAGAATAGAATAGACGCCTGTGATGTTTTGTTTAGGATCTCGGAAATCTCTAACTTTTTTCCCAAGATTTATTTATGAATTACCAACCTATTCACTAAAAAACATGACACACGAAACGTCAGCTTTCTGAATGAAAAGATAAGTCATTTCTGGTCAGAAAAATGTGGCAAAGAGGAAGGGGACACATAGAGAACGCATAGAGCAAAAAAAATCTAAGAAATAATACAAATTTCAAATTTCTTAACTGGGGCTAGGGGTTTTTGTTTTGTTTTTGTTTGTTCATTTGTTTGTTGTTTTGGAGGGCTGGTAAACAAACAACAAAGAGTAACAAACAACAAATAGGGGTGAATTTGATCAGGGCACATCATATGCATGTATGGAAATATAACAAAACCCCTTTGTACAATTAACATACACTAATTAAAAAGAGGAAAAAATAAAAGCAACTTAGTAACCAAAAAAATTCAGAATGATTCTAGCTTATAGAGAGGAATTATTTGCCCACAAGTAGTTTAGTCATCTTAAGGCCCTGTAATAGTGATATTATCAATATTATAAACCTTTAAGAAATGAAAATTTTAAATTTCCTCATCATTGAAAAAATAAGCCAAGCAATCACTACAAAAACATATAATTATCTGGATTAGGCACAAATATGCCCAGCTAAAATTCATAACTTTTTCTTTCTCTGAAACCCAAGACTTACACTGCAGAGTGCAGTTTAATAAATAGTTAAATAAGTAAATGTCCTTTTCCGTCATGTCAATTAGGGGAAACTTTTTTGATATGTCAGTCTTCTTATTATTAAGATTTATTCTTTTATTTATTCTAGATAAACCAACTTTCCTGGGTGAAAATCCACTGTTGTATAAATCCCAGTAGAAGTGTCACAGGCTGCCATAACTAAACAGGAATTCAAGTTGGAAAACCCTGTCATATTATGGCCTTTGCAAAGGAAATCACGGAAGTTCAAATGTCACTCACAACATGGGGAAGATGTTTTTACTGCACTTGTCCCCTCATAACCATCTCTCGTCAGACTTCAGGACATTGTAATTTCAACCAAGGACAAAAAGGCAGTGGGAGGAGTCTCTGTGGTTGCCTAGGTCTATTTTCATCAGTGGCCCTTAAATTCTTGGGTACTCAAGTGTCACCCCAAGAGCCTTCAGAAAATAGAGATTCTGGGGTCCTGCCCTGAGGGAGTGTGATGCAAGGGCAGGACAGGAAACTCATCTTTAACAAGATCCTTAGATGGTTCTGATGCAGGTGCTCGTGAACCTCTCTGAGAAATTCTTCCCGAGTTTTGAGAATTACACTATTCCAAAGACATCAAATGAGATGCTCTTCTTAGTAAACTATTTCCTTTAATCAGCTTTGCATTCTAGTTCCTGCAAACATCTCTGCAAGAGATTCCCTCAACCCATTATAGAAATAGACCTCCTAGCCACCTGTTTTTCCATGAGTTGTAAACTCGTGCTTACACTTCAGGCCCAGGTGGTCAATCACTAATCACCACCATTGTCAAGAAAACAATTCCAACGCAGAACTCCTGGAAGTCTTCTCCGATCTCAGTCTTTGACTCCCTAAACTCAAGTATTCCATGATGCAGGCTGCATGTGCTCTCAGTCGAAATACCACTCTTACTGCTTCTACACAGTTTGCACCCCAAGCAGTGCACCCCAAAACACATGCCACATCAAGGATGATCACGTGGGTCTGTGCACAATAAATTCTCATTCCAAGATCTTAAAACATCTATAACTTCATCCCTCTTCTTTCAACTTATTTCTACAATCAGATGAGTTGGATACAGGCCCACCCACCACCATAAATACGACAAATATTCTCCTCTTTCCTGATGGCACAAATTTGTGTTTTATTTTGTTTTGTACTGGACCTTTTCTCAAGAACTAAAGAGACAACGTCAGCAGCAGCTGAACCTGTTTTTGAATTGTCAATCAGGGGATGATCTTGTTAACATCAGCTGCAGTAGATCTTAGATATAGCTCTAAGAAACTTAATCTGAACCCCCACAACTAGGATAGGCACCCATCTGAATTCTGCCATTGCCCCTTATAGTTAACCTTTATTTCAGCATTTATCAGCCTCTCTTGTGGTTAGGTATTCATGTTTCTGAAGCCACTAATACAAAGCTTTCTGGAGAGGGGACACTGTCCCAGTACCTTACAGAGTGCCTGGAACACAAAAGTAGCTGGATACTTTTTTTTCTTTTTTAAGACAGGGTGTCACTATGTAGCCCAGGCTGGGCTCAAACTCACAATCCTCATGCCTTAGCCTCCTGAATGCTATAATTATAGGTGTGTGCCACCACTCCCACCTAACCCAGTACAGTTCTGTCAGAAAAAAAAATGTAAAACATGTATTAAGGAGGCATTCTTTGATATCTGAGGGGAGAACACACAACCTCAAAATACAATTTTTTTCAGTTAACTTTGCTCTTGGAAGATCCACAAGAATTACAGCTATCCTTAATAGAAAATGTTCTATAGAGGTTCCCATCAAGGTTATTCTAGAATTAATATGACTAATTATTCTCATTCTTTTGCTCATGGAAAAACATTTAAATGCTAACATACAGCAGGAGCCCACTCCTGTGGAGTGGGTGCTCCTTAATCAGGACCCATAGATCTATTCCATGATAGTACCTAGTGGTAAGTTATTATATGAATATATAATATAGGTAAAATAATTCCTAAGCTGTTTTATGTTTTAAAAAAATTGGTTTTTATAGGTATATGTTTATATGTGCATATATTTGTGTAAATAACTAAATATTTAGTAGTATTTATTTATATCAAATTAGTTTAAAAAATTAGCCTGGACTATCTCCTGATACATGAAATTAACATCACTGTACTTGACTTTAGGTATAAATGGCCATGTACACAATGGAATCAGAAGACAATCACAGCCCTACAGGCAAGGTCTGTCCTACACCACTGTACCTGTGCCAATATCCATCATATCTGTATTTATAGTTTGAGGAGATGGGGTTGGCAAGGGGCTGGGAGTCTGAATAGGTAAGGTATTTTATTTTGGCAGATTGTGAGATCCCCCAAAATTCTACATGGATCCCACTGGAAGGGCTACATCAGTGACTCTCATAATCCAGGATTTTGTCCTGAGAGACAATATGATATAATGATGCCAGAACTAGACAGCTTGGTGTCAAATTCTGACTGAATAACTTCAGGCAAGCTGTGGGACCTCTCTCTCTCTGATTCTTTATCTGTAATTCACAAATGATGGAGGTTATGGTGGGTCTGGGGATGTAGCACAGTGGTAGAGCGCTTGTCTCTCCTCGTAAGGCCTGGGGTTCAATCCTCAGTACACAAGAACAACAAAATGATGGTACTGGTGACATAACTTTGGTTCATAAGGTTGTTGTAAGGCATTTGAGACAATGCCTAGAAAATAAGTGTCCAATAAAAGTTAGCTGTCATTATTATTATTACCTGGGTCTAGCTGAATCTAGGATGAGACAAGTGAGGCATGTAGGGCACAAAACTTCAGGAGATACTCACAGTTGCCATTCCTAAACTACCATGGCTCTGTGAGTGAATTCTTCTTTACATTTTGCACCCTCACTCTTGTCCTGCATGGGACACCTCACAGGCTAAGATGATGAGGCATTGCCCTTGCCCCTAAGCATAATATGTGTAAGAGAAGCAAGGTGTTACCTCACTTCTCCCTAACTCTCCTGTGTAGTCAGTGAGCCACAAAATCTATGACAAATGAAAGCCTAATTGAACCACCCCAAGTATCATTTCTTCATTTAGGCTCAGTTGGCTTCCCCTGGACAGGACTCCTCTTACAAGTCTATTACACAACAGAGTTAGATGCTCCTAAACCTTTCTTTTGATGGGGCACTGTGTTTACCTGCTCAAGGTAGCTAATGAGGGAGTTTTTGTTGTCCTCCCAGTAGCTCTTCAGAGTCTCTTCAGGTGGGAACTTTTCACAGCTAAGCTCAACAGTGATCTCAAAACAGTTGCTGCTCAGGTAATTGAAGTCTTGCATTCCTGCCAAAGCACCAAATGAAAAGTCATTATGTGCACGGGGTCACTAACTCTACACAGGCCATCCTGCTAAATTGAAAGCTTAAGTAAAAGATACAACACTGGGGGAGCCTGTGGGAAACTATAGAAAATCACATATATGGGGACTACATGCTTGGGAGGTCATTACCTTGGAAACACAAACTCTCTCAGGGTCTCAAGCAGTCATTTAGCTTAACTCCTTACTGGTATCTGGTGGGTACAAAAAGCAGTTGCTATCCACACTGCTTCAAACAAGATAACAAGGTGAATTCCACCCTTACTGCACATCCCTGTAACCTACCTTTTTATCAGGGAAGACTTGGAGAGTCATGGGAAATGATCAGACATGCTACTTTTTCCCCAGTCTAATCAGTATCATAGTACATCCCGGAGGGCTTGGGAGTCTCAATAACATAATTTATACTAATTCAATAATCACTGAGCAGTTACCATGTATAGAACATAATTTTAATAATACTTCAAATTGCACCAAAGAGAAGTTTCTGCATCCAGAACAATTTTAACTTGAATCCAATACACATTAGTAGTGGATACTGTTGGTGGAGCCACCATCAAGCTGTTCTAGGTACTGGCTGCTAAGCGTTCACAAGTGCTCCCCACTTTCTTGGAGAATTGCTCATGGGAGGCACCTAGCTTGGAAGGTTACCCCCTTCCACCTCTCACCTCCAATCCCTCCTGGCAGCCCTGAGCCAACATCTAACTGACATAGAGACACCAAAGGCTGGTCCCCTCGCCCAAAAGAGAGATGACCCTGCCCGTCATTTATCCGCAGGCCCTTCTCCCAGTGAATCTGGCCAAGGTTAGATTGTAACCTGAGGCTGGGAGATGGCTCAAGTAGTAGACCGCTTACCTAGCATGCAAGAGGCCCTGAGTTCAATCCTTAATACTGAGAGAAATAAAAAAAAAAATAGACACAACCCAAGATCATTGGTCAGCTGCATCCTTTTCCTTACCCCACTTTCCTTTCTTCCCTACAAGGTTTTCCTAAAACGCATACCCTCAATAAGTTATAAACATACCAATCTCTGTCTCCAGCTCTGCTTCTAGTACACTTAACTCAAGACAATGATTTTATTAGAGCTAACAACTACCAAGGCTTTCTTTGACTGTTTGATTACTCTGGGACATCATCATTGACCAAGATTCATATTATTGTGCTATTACTAATTTATCATCATCAGTATTTTACTGACAGAAATTGTATAGACGATACACTATTCAAAAAGTTAATTCTAAAGGAATTACTAAAGACTTTTTACAAAAACTAAAGTATAAAATTACTTCCCACCTGATGTATTTTTGAGACCTTATTTCTCCAGTTACAGGGGAAAAATACTAAATCTGATCTGGCCAAATGCAACATATAAATAAGAAAAGACTAAGAAAAAAATTCAGGAATAGTATCTTTTTTAGGGCATCATAAAACAAAATTAGGCATATCTGACCAAATCCCTATAATTATCTGGAGCTACCACTGCCCTAATTCTCTTTCTGTTCCCAGGTGTGGCAAAGAAAGTTCTTCTTTGGCAAAGAGAAAAAAAATGTGTGGACATCTTTATTTCACTCTTCATCCTTGGTAGAGGTCTGATAGTGGTCTGGAGTTATAAAGATAAGAGCTCTGTAAAGCCCAAGTAGGAACAAAGCAGCCAAGAGGGCTGCCCTGCTTATGGAGAAAGTTGCACTCTCCAGCTACTGTCCTGCACATGGCCTTCATCCTCTGCAAACTGTACAGCAGGTAAAAACCTACTTGATCGAGTAGTGCTTATTGCAGTGCTGAATATAAACTAAGCAATACATGTAAAATAGTCTCCTTATCCCATCATTTAAAAAAACTTTTTAAAAAGGTGTGTGTACCAAGATAGGCTAAAGAGTGTACCACTCCTCTAAAATATTCATTTACCTATGGTAAAAGTATAACTAACCAGTATCAAGGATGCTGTCATATTGCTCAGGCCTGAACATGTAAGTAGGTTAATGAATACTTTTCAATTCATATTTTCCTTAGGATATTACTTATTTGGTGGTACTGGAGTTTGAACTCAGAGCCTCACACTTGCTAAGCAGACGCTTGACTACTTGAGTCAGTCCGCCAGTCCCCCAAGGAACCGCTTCAGTTTATTTTCTGTACCTCTTCAATTAGCATCTCACATTTAAAAAAAAAAAAAAAAAAAAAAAACATTACCCGGGCACCAATGGCTCACTCCTGTAATTTTAGCTACTCAGGAGGCAGAGATCAGGAGGATCGCAGTTCGAAGCCAGCCCAGGCAAATAGTTCACAAGACCCTGTCTTGAAAAGGCACAATACAACATAGTGCTGGCAGAGTAACTTAGGTGGTAAAGCTCTGCCTAGCAAGCCTAGCAAGCGTGAGGCCCTGATTTCAAGCCCCGTGAAGAGGGGTAGGAAGGAGTGATGGAAGGTGTAAATTTGATCAAAGAACGTTATATATATGTATGGAGCTACCTCAATGAATCCTTTTATGCAAAGAATTTACATTAATAAAAAAAGAAAATTAGCTTTAATGAAAGAGCTGAAGGTGCAATCTACTTCTTGTTGATTAAGACTAAAGATCTAAATGCAAATCACTCTCTAAATCTAAATGGTAATCACAAGGAAGCCTCTATCATCTGACCAGAAAGCAAAAAGGGAACTCACCACCAGGCACGCTGTACCAAGCGCCACCATTGGTCGTCCCATCTACAAAGCTGCTGTCATCATCATTCTTGCGACAGGGTGGTCGGTTGGGGTCAGACATGGCAGGGTTGAAAGAAGAGTAAGCCCGAGCCAAGCTTTGGAAAATGTTATCATCTGGGCAGGAACTGTATTCATGAGCACTACCTAAAAGACAAAAATCAGAATTGACACAGACCAAGGGCACTGTTGTTTCTGAATTGTGATTCCTTAGTAAGCTCTCACTGATGTAGTTTTCAGCCATCTTTACAACAGGAAAAGGTAAAGGTTTAAGTACGAAACAATTATACTTAGTTTTTCCAATGCTAATACTAAAAAGTAGAAATTGGACAGAATGCACATTCTGCTTATGAATTGAAAGCTTCCCAAGCAAAGATGATAAGATCATATAACAAACTGGACCTGGGAGGAGACAGGGCTAGAAAGAGTTCCATTGTTAAAATTTTTAATTTTCAAAAATTTACCTAGGCCAGGAGTAGATGCTCATGCCTTTAATCCCAGCTACCTGACAGATGGAGATAGGCTAATCACAGTCCAAAGCTGGGCAAAAAGCACTAGACCCTATCTGAAAAATAGCTTAAAAATCAAAAAGAGCAGAGCGACCTGGCCTAAGTGGTAGAGCACTTGCCTAGCAAGCACAAGGCCCTGAATTCAAACCTCAGCACTGTCAAAAAAAGTTAAAATAAATCAATTAAGATAAACAATTTTAAACTGTGCTTATACCAACCCTAAAACCACTATGAACCACTCTTACACATACTATTCAGCATTCGATTGTAGACTATTTTAATAAGTTACCCATATGTATTATACAAGTAAATACTACATTTGATACCCTGTATTCTTATTCATGTTTTATAAAATATGCCTGGCCTACAAGTTTCCCAGCTATTGACAAATCACATAATCTCAAAGTGTATTTAGCATTGTTGCTTAACCAAGCTTTCTTCAAATCTCAAGGTTTACAGTATCTAAAATTTTCCTCCTGTGTTTACAAAGAGCTTACTCTTCAAAGATCACTGTGAATGGATCCAAAACAGGAAATCTGGAGCAACAGAACACTACCTAGCTAAAGCTTGCTTTACCTGACACTTAACTAAAACTAGTTAGAGAAAATCAAAGCACCATTTCCCCTCCATGACACCACCAGAAGTAGATTCGAAGGCGAAAAGCAAGAGTGCTCTGAGACACAGAGAGGTTCACATAGGCCCTGATTAAGTATCAGAAACTGCCTCCATTTTAAGCCATACTGGACACAAATCTACTTAAATTCTGTAATCTCTCCATTTTGCCAGGGTCCAGGACTAACCCAACTTCATGACTTCTACCTCTTATCTTAAGTGTTCTGTTAAGGTCCTGATTCTCTTCGTTTAAATTATAAAAGTTACAGTTCCTTTCTGCCAAGCAGATACCCCAACATCACATGAAATAGTAAGGAATGTTTGTTAAATATATGTATTTCTATAGGCCAAGACACTAAATGACTGGTTCCTTAGAAAACAGTACATAAATCATCCTACAAACTTTTGCATTGCAATTATAAACCTGACACCACTTAGAGAAGCAAGAGGTACCTACCACTCCGAGTCTCGTCGTATGGGTAATTGGCCACTAGGTCTCCTCCATGGAGATTGGCAGAGAGCACAAAAGGAATATCCATTATCCAATGGATAACAGCCTTGGTCTCAGGAGCAAGCTGCGTTAAAAATTAGAGATTAAAAGGATACGTTTGATAATCATCAGATGATCCCTTGATGGAAAGGCGTGGAAATATTTTTGTTTGTTTTTTTTTTTAATGGAAGTTCTTCATATTTCAACCATTTTATGGCTGCTTTGATAGGGGAAATAAATGGATCCTGTAAGAGCAGCATTCCCTGCTCAAACTTTTAATAAAAAAAAATGTCAATCACATTTCCTTAAAAGTTCTACTCTTACAGGATGCCAGTTTTTACTGTCTTTGTAGATTGAAAATAAACATGCAAATCACTTACAAATTTTGGGACATCATCCTATCTGTAATGACTCACACATCTTTGTGAATAACAGTTAAGGATAAGACAAGGAACTAGAGAAAAGGTGAGATCAAAAAGAATTAACCTAGAAGGTAACACACACGCACAGGAAATTAATGTGAGTCAACTCCCTGTATAGCTATCCTTATCTCAACCAGCAAAAACCCTTGTTCCTTCTTATTATGGCTTATACTCTCTCTACAACAAAATTAGAAATAAGGGCAAAATAGTTTCTGCTGGGTATTGAGGGGATGGGGGGAGAGGGAGGGGCAGAGTGGGTGGTAAGGGAGGGGGTGGGGGCAGGGGGGAGAAATGACCCAAGCCTTGTATGCACATATGAATAATAAAATTAAAAAAAAAATCAGGAGATACTCTAAAAAAAAAAAGAAAAGACAAGGAGAAAAGAAAATTGAACCACCAAACAAGAGTCATCCTCTGTGGTGTTCAAATGTGTGGCAGATTTTGTTTACTATTTATTTACAATTTTCTATTATTTACAATTTTTGCTTACTATTTTTCCAATTCTACTCCAAACACTGTCCTTATAAAAGAAAATCAAGTTGGGTCCCTTTCAGAGCTGGCTGTAAAATATCAACTTATTTTGGAATGGCCATCTGAAATTTTAAAACAAACGCAAAAGTTTCAGGAATTCATGCCAAGTCTTTTGAATGATTCATACCTCCCATATCTTGGAAGCAAAACAAAAGAGGGAAGAAATTTGTAGCAAAGAATTCATCTGCTGCCAAAAACTTGGTACTTTCATGTGATGAGTTTTTAGTAGCAATGAGAACGCTCTCAAACTCTGAAGAAGTACTTAAGTAGCTCTGATAAAAAGAAAGCTTTCTCTGGAGGTGCGCTCCCTGCTGTTCTTTGGGGAAGAAGATCTACAGCATCACTAGGTTTTGGTGGTTATCATAAGACCTTGTATTCATATATTTCTGTTCTGTTTATGAATCCCTCTCACATGAAGTATTTTATTGAGCTTCACAACACCCTCAATGGATATGCAAAGGTATTCATTCCCATTTCGTAGGGCAGAGTCTGAGGGCTGAGTATGTCAAATAGCATGTCCAAGTTCACACAGCTATGACTTGAAATCCAGGCTTTGATCCTATAAGGCCCACATTATTTTTAGCATTTCAGATGTACTGTATTAAAACCACCCTATATTAGTATCTAGAATATATAAAGAACTCAAAGAATTAAACATCAAAAAGAACAAATAATCCCATTAACAAATAGACAAATGAATTGGACAGTTCTCAAAAAGATGTACAAATGGCTAATAAATACATGAAGAAATCTTCAACAACCTTAGTCATAAAAGAAATGCAGATCAAAATGGCACTGAGATTCCATCTCACCCCAGTTAGAATGGCTGTCATCAAGAAAACAAACAACAAATATTGGTGAGGATGTGGGGGGAAAGGAGCCCTATACATTGTCGGTAGGAATGTAAATGGTGGGAATCAGTGTGAAGGCTCCTCAAGAAACTAAAAATTGAGCTGCCATATGGTCCAGCAATTCCACTCTTGGGTGTATATCTGAAGGAATGTAAATCAAAATGCAAGAGAGATATCTGCACACCCACGTTAGTTTTAGCAGCACTATGTACAATAACCACGCTATAGAACCAGCCTTGGTGCCCAACAGCTAATGACTGGATAGAGAAAATGTGGTACATATATCCAATGAAGTATTATTCAACCACAAAGAAGAATGAAATTATGTCATCTACTAGAAAATTCATGGGATTAGAGATCATCATATTAAGTGAGAAAAGCCAAGCCTAGAAAGACAAATAAGACATTTTTCACTCACATGTAGAATCTAAACCTAAAGTAATAATAATAATAATAATAATAATATGACATGATTGTAAAAGAGGGACTGTCTGCAAGGGGGAAACCAGTGGGTGGGAGGAGGGGGAAAGGAGAAGGTGACAAGGGAAGTACATTATATATAGTTATGAAAATGGCACAATGAAACCCACCAAAAACTGTAAAAAAAGAGAAGAAGGGAAAAGGGTAGTTAAGAAAGAGTAATATAGATGGGGAAATCTGATCAAAGTACATTATATACATGTTGTAAATATCACAGTGAAACTCCTTTGTACAGCTAACTTATGCTAATAAAAATTGTTTAACTGTCCTATTTTTTCACATATGCTACTTGTAATTGTGGGAAGGTGTGATTTAGAATAGCATGCTGTTAACAGAATACATAGGAAGAATAAGTTATGATGTTGTATAGCACAGTAGGGTGACTATATTTTACAATTTGTTATATATTTTAAAAGAACTAGAAGAGTTTGAAGATTCCCAACACAATGAAATGATAAATGTTTAAGAAGATGGAAAAGCTAATTACTCTGATTTCATCATTACATTATATGTGTATCAAATGATAAGACATATAATTTGATACACATATGTGTATTAAATGATAAGACTGTTATATAAATTATAAATTTGTAACTATTGCTTATCAATCAAAAAGTAGAGCATTATTTTTACTATTTGTTGTATTGGCTTATTTTATTCTTGTACTACTAACACATACTCATTGTGGAGGAGACAGACAGCACAAAGAAAATTTAAATTACTTTATAATTTTACCACTCAAAGATACCCAGTCCTTACATTTTCATATATTCTTTCAGTCTTCTTTCAATCCATTTAGATATTATATAATATTTGTATAATATATAATATTTATATAAAATGTGAAAATTTATATACTTTTAGTGTAACAGTGGATAATTCCTGGCATTGAATCTCCTTCTAAAATATTATATTAATGGCTGAGTAGTGGATCAATGTCTGGATTTACCATTAATAAATAAAATAATAGCTAATGCTTATTAGGAACTTTTTATGTATCCCATTGAATACCACACCCATCCTCTGAGATAAGTACTACATTTTCCCCCATCTTGTAAATGAGTAAGGTGAAACACAGACATTCAAGAACAGTATGAGGCCACTCAGCTCAGAGCAGGACCAGGCCTGGACTCAAGCCCAGCAGTCTGGCTCCATAGCCACTCACATGCATTAGCAACCCCAGGTATGGAGCATTAGGTTGATGGTCACTATGGCAAAAAAAATTTCAACTCAGGGCCTCATGCTTATTGGGCCACTTGGGCCACACCCACAATCCTTTTTTATATTTTGCTATTTTTAGATAGGGTCTCCCCTTTTTGCCCAGGGTCACCTTGGACTGCCCTCCTACCTCCTTCTCCCCTCTAATGCTGGGATGACGAGCCTGAACATCTGGCTTGTTTGATGAGACCTGGTCTCCCTAACTTTTTGCCCAGGTTGGCCTCAAACCAATCCTCCAGATCTCTGCCTCTTAGGCAGCTGGAATTACAGGTGGTCCCTCACACCCAGCACACTGTGAAAAAAATACTTTAAATATTGTGAAGATCCTTGAAGCCCCCACTTTGTACACAGAGATATTTTCTTTGGGAAAAATCCCTGGAAATTGAATGACTTGATCCAAAGCTAAGCACAATAAATCCAGAATTGATTTTGATCTACACTATTTGTGAAATGGATTTATCTCAATTCCATTAATTGAATAATCCATTCTTTCCATGTTGATCTGAAACATGTCCTCATTATATGCTAAATTCTTATATATACTTAGGTTTGTTTCTAGAGTTGAAATTAATTTAAATTAAGTCCAGTTTGAATTTTGATTAAAACAGTCTGCAAATACCTATTACAGGAAAGTAAATCAAAAAATTTCTATAATATAAATTTTTTACAGTGAAATTTTATTTTAGGTCCTATACATACCAAAATGGCAGTAAGACTATGTGATATGAGCTTAACACACATTCTTCTCTATTATTCTGTTGAAAAGTTTTTCTTTTGTGAATGAATTTATTTTCATTCTTCTTTATATATCCCTCATTCCCTGTTTAGTCACTCCCATGAATGGTACTGACAAATATTCCAATAAATGTAAAGGAGGCAGAAACACTGTGGTTTAGAGAATCACTGAGGACTTTAGGAAAGAAGTGGGGGTTCAGAATCTTGGGAAGGAAAAAAAATAAAGTAGAATTTGGATAGGAGGAAAGGAAGAAAGGAAAAGTTAAAATAAGAGGGGAAGTACACCTGGCCCTCTAAGGGCAGGAAGCAGAATACTTCCCAGGATGAATTGGTTTTAGTGGAAGTTCAGGAGGCAAAGCCACTCTGCAACAGACTACAGTTGTCCTTGTTAACCTGAAAACAATGAAAAACTAGTTTTCAAAATAGTATGCATGATATTGCTGTGATATATTATAGGTTGATATGTGCATGAAAATCACTTTTAAGGATACATAACAAAATATGAATAGTAGTCACTGAGGACTATAGGGCAATAGGTTATTTTTCTTATTTATATTATTATTCTTTTGTTTGAAATAAAATATTAATTTCATAATAAAAAACCTTAAAAAGGTCTGCTTTTGAAACAAGTTCAAAGACACAGCCCTGAGTGCACAGTGGTATGAAGCTATTAGACTTGGTCCATTGTTCGTACTTTTTTTGTGTGGGACTGGGGTTTGAACTCAGCCATTGTTAGTTTTTGTATCATACATACACTACTGCCAACATATGTTACTGGCATGTTCAGAAGCAAACAAATAAATTACACAATTTGATGAAGTGAGAAAAGTTTCTCTTTGATAACGAATCTTCTACCATGACTAAATGCTGAGACCCCCCATATTGTAATTATATATTTAAACTCTCCAGCACCCATAAGAGAAAGCTCCTGATAGCCAAAAAACATTTCTGACCTATTTTTAAAACTTCCATTTAAAGATTGTAAGTACGCTCAATATTATGCTCTATAATTAGATAGCATTGACTCTTAAGATATGTTGAAGCTGTGTCTATTCAGTTTTCTTCATAACTCCAGCTATAAAGGATGTGTAACCCTAGAATCTTTGCTCCCATTTCCTGCGTGGGGAATAGGAAATGTTTCTCTTTTTCTCTCCCCTCACCACTACCCCCCGTCTATATTTTATCCTATTATACTAAAATAAATCCTTGCTAAAACTTAAAGAAAATGTGTAACCCTAACAAATTATTGAATTTATTTTAATACACACTGTTTTCAGGCAATCCAGGCCAAATAATCGTGGAGGTGACCAGGCTGATAAGCTCAGGGACAATGAGAAATGACTTATAGGAAGATCTCTAGGAGTATAAGAGAGGTCTTTTATTCCCAGAGGTTCAGAAGTGGTTCAGAGGTGCAGGATCAAACAGTGCACTTCAGGGGAACATGGCAGCATCTGTAGGGCTTACTATGGACATACGCTCCTCTCCACCTCATTTCCACCATCCTCCTCTACTACTCATATACCCCAGTGCTCCTGAATCAGCATCCCCTGCAAATCTGCATCCCCACCTAAGGTTCCAGCACAAAAAATATATACATATGTATATATAAAATAAAGAATAAACTGAAATTTCAAATCCTCTGCGAGGGATATAGACATTAGGTTAACAAAGAGGAACTGAAAAGGAGGAATATTTAGTGACATTAATGAAATACCTACTATATGTCTCACACCAGGTAGGGCCTAAATATTGTTTCTATTTTTTTTTTTCAGCAGTACTGTGGTTTGAACTCAGAGCCTCAAAATTGCTAGGCAGGGGTTCTACCATTTCAGCCACTCCACACCCCTTTTTGCTTTGGTTATTTCTGAGATAGGGTCTTGCTTTATATCCAGGCTGGCCTGGACCTAGGTCCTCTTATTTAAATTCCTCAATACCTGGGATGGCAGGGCTGTATCACCATATCCAGCATTTTTATTAGTTGACATGGGGTCTCGTGAATGTTTTGCCCAGACTGCCTGGAGCCACACTGTAGTCCTCCCAATCTCTGCCTCCTAAGTAACTAGGATTACAGGAATGAGCCACTGTTCTGGGTCAACACTATCTCATTCCTAACACAAAAATGGAGAAAGAAGATGACCTATTCATGGGCAATACAACCCCCTGAAGATTTAGTATAAAGTAAACAAATCTAGCTTATGTCTAGAAGAAGAACTAAACTTTAATTTTCATGTACTTCTCTAATTTATCTTTAAGAAGAAAAATTAGTGGCATCGGAATTTTTTAATAAAAGCTCTTATTTAAAAGAGTACCATGGCATCTGTCACTTATAACTGTAATCTTAGCTACTCAGGAGGCAGAGATCAGGAAGGTGTCAGTTCAAAGCCAGCCCAGGAAAATAAGTTTGCGAGACCTAACCTCTAAAGTATTCAACACAAAAATGGGCTGGCAGGGCTGGAGGTGTGGCTCAAGTGGTAGAGTGCCCACCTACCAAACAAAGAGCCCTAAGTTCAAACCCCAGTACCACAAAAAAAAAAAAAAGACTACCATGAACAGCTTTTAATAAATACCATCTGAGCCAGAAATATGAAAACATCTAATATAGAGATTACATAAATATGACACAGGTCTAACTGGGAAGGAGGTCATGCTGACTGGAAATAGTGACACTTGTACAAAGTGCCACTCTGATATCCTGTCAACAGGAGTTTATTTCACAATTCTCTAGGAGAGGTGACAGGAATTATTCTCCTTGTTCCTCAGATTTAATAAAGACTGCAGAGGTAGGTTCATGCAAGTGATGGGGCAAGTTTGTAGGCTAGTGTCAAGACAGCCTCCAGACAGTTTTCCATTCCTGCCTTATCACATAGGACTGACTCTGCTTACTCAGCCCCAACTTCACCTTCTCCCAGGAAAGATGGTCTTCAGGCTCAGAAATTACAAGTGTGCCTGTGACTCAGAACCAGGAGCGTTCTTGGGTTCTGCAAGAATCCTCAACCCTTGACAGCTCTTGTCTGAGACCAGCCCCCACAGGAGAAATGATCAGCCTGTGTTTCTGGAATGAATCCTAAATATAATATCCTAATATAGCACTCTGGGCCAACAATCTGGAACTCCCTGTCCCCTGGGTCCTCTATCTGGGGTCCCATCCACATGATGACTGCCTCTCTGGAACTCCAATTGTTTACTTTCAATGGCTGTCTTTCTCAGATATTGTGATTTGCTTTCTGGATTGCACTTATTCATAACAGGCCCTCAGACTACTGTGTGTCAGATATCAATAATTTCTACAAGCAAGGGATCAAAATCATGCAGAGTCAGAGAGAAAAAAGATATACAAGTAAATAACCGGCTGGCTGTGGTGGTACATGCCTATAATCCCAGCACTTGGGAGGATGGGGCAGAAGGATCACAAGTTCAAGAACAGCCATAGCTACACAGGAGGACCCTCTCTCAATAATTATGATAATGACAATAATAAATATATACATATATATAAAGTTGAAGTTGTGTATTCCATCTATGGGAACTATGGATAAAGAACATAAGGAAGGCTTAACAGGATCCATCTTGAGCAAAGCAAGACCACACAGGGAAGGTAACCTAGAAAGAAAAGAGCACTCTGACAGTTTGAACAACAAGTCATATGAAGACAAAATTATTAGAAAATGTACCTTTGGGAAGCAAAATGATATCATAGAATATGTGGGCTATCAGAGCCAGATTAAGGAGTGAGTCTGTCAGTAGTCTCCAGGGGCCAAGCAATATTCAAATGGTCATTAAAAAAGAGAACGTACACTTTTCCAACTGTCAGAAGCAGTTGGCACAACAGAGAGGAACTGTCTAGAACAATAGAGAAGGAGCTAAGAGCTGCTACCAGAATTTCTTCTCCACCTGTCCTCGATGATGGGTTCTATTCCTCCCAAAGTAATTAAAAATGATATTGGTTTGAGGGTACACGGGATGTTTAGTGGGAGTGTTACTGTGTCCACCTACCCCTGAAGTACCTACACAAGAAGTACCATGAAATCATGCTGAAGTGGCAAAAACAGTTCTAGGTCCTGACCTCAGATTACTTTATTTGTTTGAACTGATATAATCCTTATAACCACCCTATGAGTCAGACACTACCATCATCTCCATATTCCACATGAAGAAGCGGAGCACAGTGGAGCTCAGAATTGATCTGAGGTGGCTGTGTCCAGAATCTCTGTGCTTAACCACTATTCTGTCATACTGAGTTTTCACTTTTTCCTCTGGGAAGTAGAGAATTGGTAAGATTTTTTATGCAAAAGAACAAGCATTTGTGTGTGAAGATCATTCTGGAGGAATTTGAGACAGTTGAATTGACTTAGGCGAGGCCGGGCACAAAACAATAGGAGACTGCACCTGTCAGGGCAGGAGGCCATGGCCTCCACGAAAGTCAGAGAATGAGTTTTCAGAGGAAAGAAAGATGAGAGAGGTACCAGGGATCCCGAATCACTGGACATGGGAACCAATTGCTGGTGAGAAGTGACAGAGGTGGAAAAAAATAAAGGCTTTGATGATCAAGATAAATGAAATAATAGTGGTTTTAAGAGAAAATACTTGTTTCTGGACAAGCTAAGCTTGAGGTCCCTGGAAACCTCTAGATAAAGGGACCCAGTCAACAAGTAGAACAGGAAAAACAGAATTGTAGATATGGATCAAAGAACACTTGTATAATAGCTGACACTGAAGATTCAAGAAAAGATGAAACCCAGAAAATCAGATAAAAGAACCAGATGAGACTCTGAGGAAGGCCAGTAGCTAAGCCAAGGTAGAAAATGAAGAGAAAGAAACCCAGCAGTGATTTGAAAGGCAGTAAAGAGCTAGGAGACAGTGGAGTTTTGTAAAGAAAGGGAAGGAAAACCTTTTGAAAAGAAGACCAAATTCAGCAGTGTGAAATCTGCAGGCATTGCTGTTCAGATGAATAGATAAAGGGCTTTTCTGAGAGGAACTTGGTGACTTGCTCTTTCCTTCTGTCCTCAGCCCCAACTTCTCACTCCTTGCCCAATCTTTGGATCATCACAGTTAACTGCCCACACAAGCTTCCTGAAACTCCTACGTTCTTCTTTGTGATAAAGGCATTGGAACATATTTCCTTAGGCTAGAGGGCAAACCCAAAGAAAACCATACATGCTCTCTACCTTTGTGTTTTGGTCCACAATTTTCTTCAGATTTTTCAGCAGGTGATTATTTGGACCACCTTCTTTCTCATTAACATAAACTATCCTATCCAGGTCTGGAAAGTTCCGGTTCAGATCAATTCCTTGGGCATTGCTTCGACCCACAAACCAGTCCTTAAGTTCACCAGGCTAAAAAAGAATGAGAGGAAAATCATCAAACATTCAGTTATTTATTATTGCTGTCACTATTTAATGTCTCCATTGACAGTGTTTAAAATAATATACTGATATTATTTTTTCAATAGTATCCTTCCTTAATGGAATTTTCATTATTTTACTAATATAAGCATGAAGACATCAGTTTAAAGTGTTTGTATGGACATTCTGAAAATATTTTCAATGACCACTATTTTAAATATCAATAATAATATTTAAGAGATAAAAATTGCAACATAGTAAACACATATTCACTAGCAGTAGATGATCCATTTCAAAGCACACAAGTCTATAATTAGATTTAAGTAAAATATTCATTGCCTCTGTAAATCACAGCAACCTATTTTTGTAATAATCAAAAGAATAAATAAATAAGATTAGGAGCTAAAAGTGAATTTAATGTTATTTATGTATTAATAACATGCATGCTTCTATGGCCTTTATCATAAAATATGAGTTCTATTTTAAAGTCTAAAGTAAAGTAGTTTTTCTCTAAAAAGATGATAAATGTAAACATTACACAATGTATACATGTATTGTGAAAGCATGGCTCAGGTGGGAGCACTTGCCAGCATGCGCTGGGTTCAATCCCAGTACTGAAAAAAAAAAAAGGAAAAAAGAAACATCATATTGTACGCCATAAATATGTGTAAATATTATGATTTTATGTATCAGTTTAAATGAGTTTAATCTTTAATCTTAAAAAATACAAGTGCTAGACCAAAAGCTGGAGAACTTAGTGATTAAAGAATTTCTGTTTGATTTAAATCCTTTGTTAATGGCACTACCTGAAAGATTAATGCATTTCCAAGATATCCAGTTTTACCTTACCATGTGAATTCTCTTGTTTTACTGTTAAATTATGTCAAATCTGTGATATTAAAAATTACCATATTTTAAGGTCATATAAGCTTAGGTAACTCAGGCTATAAGGAATAAAAACAGAAATAAAAAAGATAATCTTTTGCCCACTTAAAATTTTAAATGTGACCTTAAAATACTGAGTAATTTTAGTTTATATGTTACTAGAATTTTTTCTCTCATAACGTTAGAAAACATATCAGTGTTATACTTACAAAAATTCACTGTCTGTGTTGGTTACAATGTCAAATTATATGGTTATTGTGTCTTCTTAACTGTAGATAAAAATACTATCACTTTAATGTGTGTTCCCAAAAAATTACACAATTATTTCAGACTACAAATATGTCTCTCCCATTTCTGTCCAACCAAAATGGAAACACATACCATGCTATTTTACCTTTTAAAGCTTTTAATTTCCAGCATGTCAGTTAAAATGTATAAAATTATTTTTAGTTTAAATGTATGGCTGCTTTTTTCTTTTTTTTTTTAACTTTATTCATTCACAAAACCAACGATTAAACATCACTACATTGATCTGGCCAAAAGTCTTTCTTCCTTGAATTCAGTAGAGGGCGCTATGACACCAACTAAGAGATAAAGCACGGTCTTGCTCTTTATGGTAGAGATTTTCCATAATCAAGGATTTTTAGAAGAAAATTTGCCTCATCACAATTGTGGATAAATAAACATCACTTATTTAACAATACAAACAAAACATTATTAAAATTTTAACTTAGTAACAAAATTGTTCATTTGCAACCTCTGCCAAAGATGCTCTCTCCTCCTTGATATTCTAAACTCTTTTCTTACCAGGAAGTTGAATCGTGTACCTCTTATGCTGTCTATTGCAGTCTGTAAGCTCTGCATGAGGGCATTCTGTATAGATAGGTGTGTGTAGGATACATTTAGGTACACGCTTATAAAAAAACAATAAAGAAAGCACAGTCAATGCACCCTGCCTGCACTCACCTGAGAGGCTGCCTTCTCAAAGCCATCGGGGTTCAGGGATGGCATGATGTGAATCCGGGTATTGTGGATAAGATTGACAACTGTCTCGTTCCCCTTCTGGTACTCGTTGCACAGGTACTGGGCCAAGAAAATGAGCAGTTCTCGTCCAACTGCCTCATTACCATGCATATTCCCGATGTATTTAAATTCAGGCTCGCCTAAAGACCAAAAATAGAGACATTTTCTATAACACCAATGAGAAGGCAGATGTCACAATGGTCAGTGTGCTGTATCTACTAACGTGTTACAAATAGCCCACAACTTCTTTTCCCTCCATGAGTGATCTCTCAGAAACTACCTGAACATGAAAACGCCCCAAGCACTCTTTCTATGCTTCTAGTCCTCTCTTCCTGCCACCCACACACTCATAATTTGAAGCCCTAACACCCACTGGGACTGCGTTTGGAAACAGGGCTGTTTAGGACATAACTAAGGTTAAAAGAAATCCTAAGGGCAGGAACCTATCCAATAGGACTGCTGTTCTTGTAAGAAGGTAAGACACAGGGATACCTCTCCACCATGTGAGGACACAGGAAGAAGGTGGCCACCTGTAAGCCAGGAAGACAGGCCTCACCAGAAACCAACTCTGCTGCCACCTTGATCTTGGACTTCCAGCCTCGAGGACAGTGGAAAAAATTAATTTCTATTGTCTTAGCCACCTAGTGTGTGGTATTTTGTTGTAACAGCACAACCAAGCTAATGCACCACCCTACCTCCAAATAACTAACCATATATTGTGTGCCTATCTATTGGCTGACCACTGTTCTTTGCATGATTTGTTTGTTTGTTTGGTTGGTTTTGGTTTTTATGGTTTGGAGTTTTCTGTTGTTATTCTTTTGGTGGTACCGGGAATTAAACTCAAGGCCTTGAGTTTGCTGGTCAGGCATCTGCCACTTCAGCCATACCCCCAGGCCTTTTGCCTTTAGTTTGTTTTTTAGATAGGGTCTCGTACTAACTTGGCCCAGGCTGGCCTCCAACTTTGACCCTTCTGTTTTTACCTCCTGAGTAGCTGGGATTACAGGTGTGCACCACCACACCAGACACTTTGTGTGTTTTCTTATTTAGTCCACACAAACATCTAAAAGTATTATTACCCTTCTAACTTTATAGATGAACAAACTGAAGTTCAGACTGCTTAAGAGGCCTGCCCATGGTTACACAGCCTATGAAGCCAGGATTCAAATCCTGATCTTCTGCTCTAGTAAAAAGTCTATACTTTCTCTCCCTCCTCCCCACCCTACCCCTCAAAAAGCCCATAAGAATAAAAAGGGCCAGACTTCAAAGGTTCAAACCTTGGCACCAATTCTTACTGGCTGATCTGAGGAAGTCACCTCAGCTCTCTGTGGCTTTGTTTCCCCAGGTAGAATATAGAGATCACAATAGATTCGACCTCATAAGGATGATGATAAGAAAGAATGGATGGAAATGCTTAGAACAGTACCTGGCAAAACACAACTACGATTTGTTGTAATTATCTTTAACATTATTAGCAGTAGTATTAGTCCTATATCACATTATCTTGTCATTGTGTGGTGCTTTGCCATATATAATCTAATTCCCTCTTTCCAACAGCCCACTCAAATATAAAAAGCAGATACGTTTATTATCATGGTGGCATAGATGCCACCCAACAGGATAAGTGGTGCTGATAGTCTCAGAATCCAAGCATAAATCACAGTTGCCCATTCTGCTCGCCCCATTGCATTCTGGGGCGAGCCTTAAAACTGCAGCACCCAGCAGCTAAGAGTTCTTCATTAATCCTGCCGTCTGCTCCCTTCTGCTTCTTCCATCCCATGGGCCCAACTCCTGCCAAGGAAAGGACTCTTCCGTTTATAAAATCACTAGGATTACTCCTCTTGGTCTTAGAAGAGAAGTTGTAATTAATTTTTTCTTGGATAAATGTCATGTAAATATATTTTGCATGAGATTCCTGAGTGTCTGATTGAAGTGACTACTCACACATGTCCTGTGTCCCTCTCAGCCTGAGTTTATGCTGGTCTTAATCTAAGGATCAGGTGGGAATAGGGTCAGTGCTATTTATAGCCAGCTTGATTTGTTTTGTTTTGTTTACTTTGATGAAGAGTCTGGACTAAAACTACCCACTAGGGACCAGCCCAGAAGGCAAGAGATGAGAAGAAATGCTTTCTTTGCTTCTAGTTTTAAAAGTAGCAAATCTTTCTTCCTTTATGTGAAATGCATGGAGTTTGTACTTTACCTTATTGGATGTATTCATTTAATTGAGGCATAGGGGAAACTGCAGCAGCCATTATATTGGGGGTTGAGGGGAATCAAGCTGCCAGAGGGATGTTGGAAACTTCTATACACAGCAGATTCCACTACAAGGAGCATTCTGGTCTCCACCCCAGCAGTTTTGAACCTTCAAGTTTCTCAAAAGAGTGAGCTTGGTCCACAATCTACAAGAGTACCACACTGAATATTTTTAGTACTTCTCTAGGTTTAATTTTTTTTAGTCGTTTAAATTAGAAATATCAGCTGGGCTTTGGCACCAGTGGCTCACGCCTATAATCCTAGCTACTCAGGAGGAAGAGATCGGGAAGATCACAGTTCAAAGCCAGCATGGGCAAACAGATCAAAAAAATCCAACACAAAACAGGGCTGGTGGAATGACTAAAGTGGTAGAGTGCCTGCCTAGCAAGTATGAAGCCTAAAGTTCAAACCCCAGTGCTGCCAAAAAAAATAGAAACAGCAAACTCAGAGTCAAATTCATGTAGCCAGACTTGGCACCCAGACGCTTTGGCTGAGCATGGTGCATTTTGTATGGATGTGAGTGCTCTGTGAAAGAACCCTATGCCCTCCAGTTCCTCCACAGACCACACCATTCCCTATTGCTGCCTTACTTGTTTGGTGAAATTCCTGATTTTTCAGTCAGCAAATTTCCACAATGGCTCCTGTTCTTCAACTGTGCAGAAATCCCACCCAGAATAAATCTCCTCCAATCTGCCTATTATATTTGTGAGGAGATAACAATACCAACACTTAGGTTGCCGTGCATGGAGAACAACAAAGGTCATCATATTGAAGACACTAACATAGGGAAATAAGGCAACACAAGAAAAGGCAAGTGTGTCCTTATCTTCTTCTGTCTTTTGGAATAAATCAGATCACTATATAACACTGTCACCAGCATACAGATGAGCTGTGTTCTTTTAAGCTTGTTGACTTGCCTTCTGAGATGGAGAAGAGCAATGTTGTTTAAATATAGCCTATGTTGGGAGTATACATGAAAATCCCAGTGTGTGACACTACAGGGGACCCAAGAACAAATAAAGCAGCATTCCTGAAGTAAAGGAATGTGGAGTCTGGAAGACACAGACGTGCACATGAACTGTGTCAGTAGTGAGGCAATGATGAAGGAATGTTGGATGCATAACTATCCAGCTTCATGCTTCTAAACTAGGATATTCCTCATGTCTTTTTGGCCTCATCCCAGCCTTATTCCCTTCTGTAGCCAGAGTTATCTTTAAAAAATACAACTCTCATTGTACTAACTCTACCTAAAAACCCATTGATAACTTCCCATTTTCTTTCATGATACAGACCAAAATTCTCTACAAGACCTTAAACTTATATGCTAACCGGCATGAACACCCCTCTAAGTCCTGAAATGCCATCCTTTTCCACTTCTCCTTCTGCCACACTTCCTACAGCTACAGGGCTCTTGCCTACGATGTTCTCTGATGCACACACATACACGTTTTGTCCTCAGATCCTTCTAATTGTGGATAAACAGACCTTCCTCAGAATACCTTTAGTCTAGGTCCAATTCCCTTGTTATTTTTACTACCTCAGTTTGAAAGTGTACATTAATCAATGTGATTATTTGATTTATTCTCCTGCCCCCATACAGCTCCCAACTACAAGTTCCAGTAGTCCTCAAGGATCACCTACTCTAGTTCATCAGCCATGCCCAGCATAGAGCCTGGAACACAGTAGGAGCACAATAAAGAATTGATTCAATAAATTCATGAGTAAGTGATAAATGACAGTTCTTGCATTTGAATTCCATCCTCAATATGCCCTCGAGAGGCAGGTGCAGCAGCCCTCAAAAGCTTTCCGGAACAGTAAAAATCCAAGGAGCCTGGGGCAGTGCCAGGGATCCACACTCTGAGTGGAAGATCTAGAAGCCTCCGTGGTAGAAGCTCCATTCAACATCCCTGGCAGAAATGGAGTGGAGGCAGCAGTGCTGTGAGCAGCTGATTTGCCCTGAAGAAGATTAATCTCCATGGTCACAAAACCTCTCCAGGCAAGCGGCTCTCTAAGGCTATTTTTGAGGTAGAGTCTAAACAAGATTCTGAAGAGACTTGGCCTTTGAAATCCTTAATCCGGAAATAGAGACAAAACCGAAGACTACATTTGAATGGCTCTCTCTGTGTCAGTTTGAAAAAAAAAAAAAAGGAATAACAGCTTTTCATCCTCAATTTCCTGTTCTGGGGCTACATCGATGGAGTGCATCACCACAGACTGGCAAATGCATGAATGACGTCTGCCTTCCTGTGTACAGAGATTACACAGAGGAACAGGTCCCAAGGTTACCTGAGTGGCAAGTGCATCCTCCCTGTGCACGCAGTGGGTGCCACATATGTGGCTGTGTGCTCATCACCCCTCCTAGCAACAGGAAGTGAGGTACAGCAAGAAGCACTACACTCAGTCCCCTTAGGATGGCTGCTTTCACATTCACCATCTTCTCCTGTGTCACTGTCAAATTTGTTTTCCTCTCTGTGCGATAATCCTGAGCTCTTCACATGTGCACAGGTTGCACCGAGAACACTCAGGAAGCACTGTTTCCCTGTTGAGTCAATTCTCCTCACAATTTACTTCACGTGATACACAAACGTCAGTCAATTCATTATTAAAATAACCTCACAAACCAAATCTACCTGACTGGATCAAGTTTCCATCTTTTTCCATCCATAGCACAGAATAAGTAATGTACCTGATTCAATTTGCATTCTCATCAGAACAGACAATTTCCAAGTTTTTAAAATAAGATCCACATTTTTTTTTTTTTTTTTTATGGAGACAAGGTAGAGACCTTGTAGTCCACTCTGGCCTTGAACTCGAGATCCTACCACCTCAGCTTTCTGAGTGCTGGGATTTCAGGAATGTACCACCACACCCAGAAAGAGCCACAATTTTA